GGGGGGGGGCATGAAATACCGGCGGCAGATGTTTCCGATGCCGGTGAAGCAGCTGAAAACACGGACACGGGGTGAAGGTCACAGCTGAGAACTTCCGCTTACTACTACTAACACGCGTACGTCTGGCTTTGTGCCACATACCAAACGCCCTTTGGATCTTAATTCCTCACGCCATTCTAGACAGGAAGATGCGTCTGTCGCCACGTCTGCAAACGGGGATCCATGTAGCCCGCCCCGATCAGGGTTCTTTCTTGTTTCTTTCTCCGAAGGCCTTGACCTCGCACTTGGTCAGTGCTACAACAACGCAAACTTGCCCCAGAGCCACAAGGGGGTCCTTCATCTGAGTGTTGTCCATGTAACGTCCGCAGGTAGTCATCACTCTACCTCCTCATCCTCCTCCTTCCTCTTCTTCCAGAGTTTTTCCCTTTCGAGGCTTCTTCGCCCTTCGGCATATCCCCACGACAAAGAGCACACAGCACACAGACCATGGAACGACGACGACACAAGTAGAGACAGGGTTCCAGTGTCAGCTTTTCGCAGTAGGCGGTGCAAACACGCTTAGGGCTTCCCGGAAACTTCAGGTATCAGAGCTGGGCACACAAGGGAAGAGTTAAAGGCAGAACGGCACAGCAACTCGCATTTACTACTGACACGGGGGGAGTTTTGCTCTCTATCAGAAAAAAAAAAAGAGCATCTAGATCGAAACCCACCGGTTCCGGGTCTAAAAGAAGCAACAAAAGAAGGAAACCCACTGATGTTCCCCCCTCCCCCCTCATACTCTACTCATCGCCAAGCATTCTGGGGTCCCAAACAAACCGGGGGAGACAGGGGGAGGTGTTAAGGGCAAGGGATAAAGGGGGTGAGTGCAACGGGAGTGCGTTGAAGTGAATTGCTTTGCTTTGACAAATCATTCATCAAGAAGGGGGGTGGGACAATTACCTACTTGTACAAGTTGTGTGTACTGACCTAGACAGAGGACAGAGCACTAATACTGCTGCTCTTCTGCAACATTCCAGGCGAAAAGAGAAAAATGGTATGGTTGTTTAGCTTCTTCCAGGTTAACGGCACGGAGTAGAACGGCAGATGGACCAAGGATCGGAAAACAACTAGCCAGTAGCTCCATAATGCTTGCAAACAAGATGCTTGCAAACAGGAGTCTATCTATAGAAGGAATAACATACGATCTAAACAGGAGCACATAGGTAACTTCTCCATGGGGTACGTGTAACCGGTGAGGCAAGCTCGGCGGCTGCACAAGGATAATGCAGCAGACGAGCAAAACGGTTACACCCCTCTCCCCTTGTTCCCTGACCGGACGCTTGGTCCAGCCGATGATGGGAACAGACGGAACGGACAGGGCCTGAAGATGCCTTTTCCCCGGTTCTTGCTTGTCAACGGAAATAACTTTGCATTTATGCCACTATTTCGGAGACGGCTCGCTATGTGTCTCTCCGTGGGAAATGCGGAATAATTAGTAGAGATAGGGTCAAGTCTCTTTGAAGTAAGGTGAACATCAACTAGAGCAGGACTGAAATGCCAGTTGAAGGCGTTCTTCAATGTAACCCTGCGGAGATAGATGAAGACTAGATATGCCGTCAGCCTAGTTATGTACGAGCAAGCATGAGAGCAAAGCAGCGTTATCCTTGCAATAGTTGCCGCGCGTCAGGTTGGTAGAACTACCACAGTAGTTGTGCTTCGTTCTCAACGCCTTGAAACAATCTTTCTCAACGCCTGGACACGAGACAAACCTGCTGCAACCCGTGCTCTTCAGAACATAGCACATCCGAAAGTCTCTTTCCGAGCCCCTGGCCAGACCTTTGACGGATTTGCGGAACGGATATCTCGTCGTACCGCTGCAGCGGTTTAGCCATGATAGCTATCCTGGGAAGCGTGCAGATTTTTGAGTCGAACAAGTTAGCTAGCTTGTCATCGGGGTCCCTTTACCCCCTCCCCTGCCGTCGGGCTGCTGACGTTCCCCAGCATACCGGCATGGCTGGCTGTACCCTTGACGTCTATGCAGGCAGGCAAACAGGGTCCGGGACGGTAGACTATCTATGTACTACTTGTAGTAATACTACCTGTAGGGGTCTTGTTAGTTGCTGCTGGCTGAGTGTCTTGATGCTAAATTGGGACATCCCCTGTGAGATTGGTAAGAGCTTAGGGGACACAAGAAAAGACATGTGATGCCTCTCCTCTTATGCATGTGCCGTGAGTCTCTCCCGAGCGCAAAAGCGTCGTAATGAGCGCTGTAACAGGTATGAGATGGATGCGAGGAGTAGGTTGATGCTATCAGTCGGTGCATGTCACCGTCAAATTGAACGGCGATTACTTCCTTGATGCTGTTTGATAACGAACAGGCAATGTACTCCGTAATACCCCATTAGTCGCAACAGAAAGAGGGATCTTACGTCGCCAACCCCAAGGGAGTGTCTAGTACAGCAGGTATTAGTGGCGGGCCGGACGAAGTGAGAGCCTGCAAGTCCTTGTACCACGTTGTACCGCGCTGTACTCCCTTGTGCGACGCGAAAGCCTTGAAACCCATGGCATCATGCTGTGTAACGTACGATAAATTGGACAAGTAGATGGAATGAGAACCAGGAGCTGCGCCTGTCTGGTGGGAACAAGGCTGGCTGTCGATCATTCCGATCGCCGATGCCATCTGGCGGCCGGCTTGGCGGGAAGACGGCGAATACCCGAGCAGAGGAGGAGAAGAAAAACGGGGAGGAGAGAGATGATGAGATTCGATGGAGCCCGGGGATGCAGATGAGATAAGCCCAGCAGCTCTTGGTGAGATGCTGTTGCCCCTCGTTGCGCAGCATCGTGAGATGTGCTTGATTGCGGTGCTTGAAGTCGCATCAGGTGGCTTCACACGAGTGTCTGTACACACACACACGTCTGCTCTTTTCCGTACTGCATGTTAGCTCGTAGTATCAGCACCATCACCACTCCGTGCCTCGTCCCTTGCCGCACATGAGCATCGTGGCAACCCGTGGAACGAGCGCCAAAAAAGGCTCCAACTCCGCCGCTGTTTGTGACGCCGACCAAGGGAAAACCTGCTGCC